AAAATTATATTTAAAACTCTCATGTCTGCTTATTGCTATAGCAACAATAAACAAGTACTGTGTATGTGTATGTACATGTTTTTATTGTTGCTATAGCAAATAGGAAAATAGATTTAAATTTTTATCTTTTAGTTTTAACTAATTTAATTTATTTTATTTATTTATTTATTTAAAATTAGCAAATTCAAAAATAACCTTGATGATGATAGCAAACAAATCTTAGACATTTGTATTGTACTATTAAGCGGTTCAAGCAATGAAAGACATACATGTGATTATTTGTTAAAAAATAATTTATGGCTAAAAACCTATGAATCAATTGGTGAATATGTCGACAAAATTATTTCAATTTGTCAAACATATGGACACCAAAATCAATTTGTCGAATATTATCTACAAAATAAAACTTTACAACATTTACCACCTGAAACAGTTACCATGATCAAAATGACTAATAATAAATTAAACAATCAAAATAGTAGTGTTTTATTTATTTTTTTTGATAATTAATATTTAATTAATTAAAAATATATATATATATTAATAGTTGACGAAATCGATGGACAAATAAAATTATTAAGATATCAGCCGGATCATTACAATCGTACGTTCAATAGCTGTAAACGTTCAATTGGCCTAGGTCAGTGATTAAAAATTAAGTGTTATTATCACGATAACTTTGTGATACATATATATATATATATATATATATATATATATATATATATATATAACATAAACTAATTTAATAACAGATATTTAATAGTAATTTTAATAATTTATAACAAACAATGAGTATGTTAAAGAAAACACTTACTCATTTAATATGTTCTAGTTTATTTTGTACAATTTAGTTTTATAAAAGTTTAATTTTGATCAATGTCCTAGGTGGTTTTGGTGAAGTGTATGAAGTAAGCGATAAACAACAAAATAAATATGCAGTTAAAATCATTAAACTAACTGGTAATATAATATTTTTCTATACATCTCTCTCTCTCTCTCTCTCTCTCTCCATCAGGGTTATGCAAGGTTCTAGATTTTAGTGGGAGGGGAGGGGGTAGACCGGGGTGAAATTTACAAAATTGTCGAAAAATTTTAAGGTGGGGGGTATTGGGTGGGGTAAAATTTTTATTACATCTTTAAACGACACGGTTAATATTTATATTATTTTATTTTTTAAAAAAGGTGCAATGGATAAAAATATTAATTATTATAGCAATGAAATTAGATATTTAAAACATGTATCAAATTCAATATATGCTGTCAATTATATCGATTCGTGGCTTGAAAGCGATCGACTATATATACAAATGGAACTATGCGATTTCAATCTAAGAAACTTGATCAATTTTAAACGACAACTATTAGAGCAGGGTCAATTAGGAGATTATGGAAAAATTGATCTAGTCGATTATTTAATATCCTATTCGATATTCCGGGAACTGGTTGAATGTCTAAACTATTTGCATGAACAGCAGCCACCGATTATGCACCGGGATATCAAACCGGCAAACATATTGCTAACTATTCAGCCCCGATCGGGTAGATATGTACGACTGGCCGATTTTGGTCTGGCCAAAGATGACGAAGGCAGCCAAATAAGTCATACAAAAGGAGTGGGAACACAGAAATATATGGCCCGCGAAGTCTACCAAACCGGTCACTACGATACCAGTGTCGATGTATATTCGCTTGGTGAAACATCGATAATGTTATTTGATAAAATTGCACCCAGGTTTTATGATATATATTATATATATATATATATATATATATATATATATAGTTTATGCCACTTAAAAGTTTAAATTTGTGTAATATTATGTAATGCTTTTTAGCTAAGGTACTTTATATAACTTACAGATAATATTAGGTAACTGTATACTAACAGTTACCTTGCTTAGCTTGTAAAGTTAACTGTATACACGATATATTATTGAAATTTAAATTTTTAATTTACATTATCACTATATATATAATCTAATAATCTCTCTCTCTCTATATATATATATATATATTGTTTATTAATGTATATTAATGTATATTATACAGTGATGACCAGCTATTGACACCAAAATTGGACGAGATGAAATGCCAAATCAATACTATGCTCAATATATTAGCTGAAAATCGGCCAAAATGTGGGGATATATTAGCAGTGATTGACCAACTGGCCATTCAAGCACCGGTATTATCCAAATGTTTTGTCGATTCACTTAAGCAAATCAATAGTCGCAATATGTTTGGTAGAGATGGTACTAATGTTTTATTGTTTTTAATATCGTTTATTGACAAAAAATTTCAATAGAAATTGAAAATATTGTGCAAATATATATAATAATTTTTGTTGTTGTTGTTGTTGTTATTATTATTATTGAAAATAATAATATATAATATAATTAAGTTATAAATAATATAACATAAAAGATATTTTAGTAGTAATAATATTAATAACTATATATACATTATAGTATCAAGTACATTTACTTGTATTATAAATATATTATAATAACACAAAATTTTTTATATATTTAATAATAACATATATATAAATATGTTTATTTTAGCTTTTTATTTACAAAAAAAAACACTATAAAAATATTACAATCAATTTTTATTCAAATAATTTTTTTTCATTAAAAAAATAATATCCAAAATAATTATAAATGTATTTTTTCTAAATTATATAATTTTGCTATTTTTTAGTGTTTACTTGTTAATTGAAAATATAATCGGAAATAAATATTTTTGTATTTTATTTTTTTTATAAGGAAACGGTTTATATATTTTATGTTTGCTTTATTTTTTTTTGTTGATGTATACATTAACTAATAGTTACATAAATAAAAACAATTAATAATTAAATAGAGACATTTATTTTGAACTAAAATTTTTTTTGTTGAAAATAATATAATAATAATAATCTAATTTTTTATTTTAGTAATTAATTAATTAATTTTTTTTTGTTTTTTTTGATAAAAATGTGTATTAACTTCAAAAAAGTAATGTTTAGCAAAAAATTCATACAACTATTGCTTAAATGTTTGCTAATTGCCAGCACAGTTAGCTCAATGACTATAACATTTGTGCTATTGTTTCGCGACCTACAGACCATCAATCGTGAGGAACTGGAGCTGAAAACACGGGACATCAGTCAAGACTATCGCTATATGAGTACAAATCTCAGACAATATAAGACAATGTATGCTAACGATCGACAGTTTTATCCAAAAGTCAAGTGGATATCGACATTAAATACAGTATTACGGGAACTCATATCGTTGTCCAATTTGGTGGCCGGTTATCGTGAGAATCAATATATGACACAGCAATCGGGTATATGGTTGGCCATTGTCTGGGTGTCCACACATTTGGATACCGGTGTCGAACTATTGTATACGACTAGTCTGTATCTAACCAGTCATGTCCTACAGTTTATTGTCATTTTAATTAGTCTATCATTTGCTTATATACTACAGGATAGTAGCGATACTACTACTACTACTACTACTACTACTACTACTAATAATAATAATAATAATAATACTAATAATAATAATAATAATAATAATAATAATACTAAACTACCTGTCCCATTAATCTATATACAAAATGATTCACCAGTCTAACTAATTATATAATTATATTTATTTTTTAATTTTCAAATTAATTAATTATTTATTTTTTTTTAAATAAAAAATTATGTTTAATTTCAACTAAACATTTGTATATTAATATCTCATAATTTATTTTTTTTGTATTATTTAATATTTAAAATATATATATATATATATATATTAATATATAAAGTATTTTTTTATAATTTTTGTAAATTTATTTATAAAAATTAATAGAAAAATTTAATAAATAATTAGGTTTTTATTTGATACTTAGTATTATTTAAAACATTATATTTTTCTATTGCTTTATTGATATTTTTATTGAAAAAATTATTATTAATAATGAATTATTAAAAAATAAAATTAATATTTTTTTCTATTATTATTTGTTTAGCTATAATAGACATACCGGTAGTTGTTATAAACAAATAACATTATAATGCAATTATTAATATATATAATTAATAAAATATATATTAATGTTTTTTTTAAGTAATAAATAATACTTATTATTAGTTTTTTAATAACAGTGTAAATAAATAATATTGATTGAAGTGTTTAAAATATTCACAACAAAATAATAATTTACTAATTAAAAAAATATTACATTTTATTTGTATATAAATTAAATTATATTTTTATTTACCTATTTATTTAAATTTTAAGTAAACATAACTATTTTGTATATTTTATGTTAATTAAAAACAAACAATAAGATAAAAACATAAATCTATATATTTTCTGATTTTACAAATTGAATTGTATTTTTATAAATTATTTTTTTTTATAAATTATTTATAAATAATAACAAAAATAAAATACATATAAACTTAATTTGTGTTACAGTATTTACAATGCTATAAAAAAATTGATAAAACTATTATTTTTTCTAAAGTTATAAATATATTGTAATAAAATGTAGTTTATTTTAAGTAATTAAATACTAATATGATAAATAAAATTAGGTTTATTTATATATATATATATTAAAAAATGAAATTTTGAACTTATATTACACTTTTATCATACAGTTTATACAGTATTTACAATTAATTTATAAAAAATATATAATTAAGTACTTTTTATACAATACTAGATATTGTAAATAAATTACCCATCAAGGTAAATTATTGCTCAATAATTTTATTATATAATAATAATAATAATAATAAATTTTTTTTGGGTTCAATTTAATAAGATAATAGTTTTATAACTTTTCATATCTATCTAATAATTATCATTTTAGTTTTTATTTTATTTTATTTTTGAAACTCAATTAATTTCTAATGAAAATTTATTAAACCGTATAAAAAATAAATCTAAATATGTATTAAGTGTAGTTATTTTTTTAAAAATTACATTAATTATTTTTTTTAACTAATGGACACTAAACAACTGGTAACCATACCGTCCCCATGGGATCGCATTAATATTATATCCAGATTTACTTTTAGGTTATTAATAATAATTTTTAGTGTTTAGTTTTGTTAGATTTTATCATAATATATATATATATATGTTTTTTATTAATTATTATTATTATTTATTTTTACTTACCTAATATAGTTGGGTATGGAGCCTATTTATACAGGCCCATAAAAAGGACCTGGACTTTACCGATCTATACCGGTGCTCAAAATCTGATGAAACTAAATACGTGCGCAACAAATTGGAAAGGTATGTATTAATTTTTTTTTAATTAAATTTTTATTATTATTATTTTTGTTGTAATAAATTATAAAACTCGTTATTGTTGACTATTTATAATAATATGTATTTTTTAAAAAAAAAACAAATAAATAATTTTTGTATACTATGCAAACTATTTTTTTAAAAAAAAACTATTATACAGAAATTGGATAACTGAGCAAGCTAGTTTTAAAAAAACTAGTAAACCACCCTCCCTGGCCCTGGCATTGTTCAAAACGTTTGCACCCGAACTACTACCATGGATATTGTTGAATACATTTCAGGTAATAATAATAATAATAATAATAATAATAATAATAATAATAATAATAATAATAATAATAATAATAATAATAATAATAATAATTAAAATTAAATTTATACATGGTCAATTTGATCAAAATTCAAGTTTTATTTTATTTATTTTATTGTAAAACTTGATTTTATTAGGAAGTCATCATCAAAGTCAGCGTACCGTTAATGTTGGGCTATGTTGTACGCTATTTTCAGGGCGACCCCCAAATTACTCGCCAGTGGGCCGTCTGGGCGGCGGTCGGTATTGTATTGATGTCAGTACTGGACCGGTTTGTTATCAATCATATTACCTATTGTTATACATTGCGTGTGGGTATGCGTATGAGAGTGGCCACATCGGCGCTTATCTATCGTAAGGTTAGTATTATACATACATACAGTACATACCAGTGCATTGGTTATATACTGTATTATATAAGTGCTGGTATATATATGGTGTATGCATTTTTTTGGGGGGGGGGTGAGAGTATTCGGGTTAGGGACAGGTATGTCCACTAGTCATTTAGTTTATATATATATTAGTTTATCTGATAAACCATATATTCAATTTAGGAAAAATGATCAAGGACATAATTGTAGATAATATTGTGACCCTAGATGGCCCACAGATCACACACACACTCACAACAGACTTCAACCAACCCTTCACTCTCATTGGACAACCCTTCAGGCCGTCCACTACTTAAGTGGACGACAGTTCACTTTTTCTCTCTCTCACAACAGCTCTCTTCACTCCTCAATTCAATCACAGCTCACTCACTGTTTTCTTGACATTCAAGCCTTCACTTGAATTTGCAATCAATCACTTGACAAAAATCTGAAACACAATTCAAACAACATTTTTTAACCAATTTTTATTTTTAATTTTTTTTTATTTTAAACAATAAATTGTTTTACCGATCAATTGGTTGTGTCCACTCATTCATTATCTCATCCACGGTCACAACTTGGCGCAGTCTTCAAGGATCGAACCACTTCACGACTGAAAAATTCAAACATTCATTCAAGCAATTCAAGTGAACTCAAGAAAACAAACCTCAACAACAATGGCTCCAAGAAAAAACAGCAGAAAAAATCGCAGAAACCAACTCAACGACACAATGAACACCAACGATGCAGACATGGCGTCGCCAACAGCATTGACTTCCGCTTCCGGTTCACATGGACTTCAAACACGTGGACAACAACAAATGAGAAGAAATGCTAGCGCCAACGCCATACAACACATGGTCTTCAACAACGACGATGAAGAGGACAATCAATCGAATCACAGCAGATCCAGAAACACTGGCCGACTCTGCGACACATTCTCAGGCAGCGATCCATTGGTCAAAGCCGATGATTGGTTGGCTCTCTTCACGTTAGTCACACGTGGTTTCTCAGATGACGACCGCATCACAGCACTTGGACGCCATGTCACAGGAGAGGCGATGAGATTTCTGGTGCGTGAAATTGCACCACAAGCCGACTCAATAACATGGGCTGAAGTCAAAGAGAAGATGATGAACCGGTTCGCCCGTGTCATCCGTCATCCATTGACTGAGGCCATGGAACGTGAGTTGAGATCAAACGAATCCATCGAATCGTATTTCAACGACAAAAAGCGACTCTTGGATTTGGCCGAACAATCAGACACCAATCAAGTGGCAATGTTGAACCATGGGATCACATCAACTATGACTCGAACACAAATCGCGTCTCAACGACCAAAGACTCCCGAGGAATGGTTTGCAATCGCTGCATCAATCGAAGAAAGTTTGAAAGTGAGGAAAGATCGCTCTCAAAAGCCCACAACAACGATCACACCGATCAACCACCTGGACAAAGACAACGACAGCAAAAAGTCTCCGACAAAGGATCCGATAGATCCAAAGAAGTTCGACAACAAACCACCGCCAGGCCCTTGCCCTGTATGCAAATTATTCGGCAAGAAAGAGATGCACTGGAAATCCGTGTGTCCAAAATGGGCCGAAATCTCAGGCACCGGTGGTGCGCCGAAACCTTCATCCACTGATGCTCCGCCTATGGCTGGCATCAATTGCCTTCGACCGATCAAAAAGTTTGATGCGCCGAAACCCTCAACAAAAGTCGCCGCTTCATCAGCGAGCGTCCATTGCCTTCAACCAATCGAAAAGGTTGTTGCGCCGATTCATTCACCAATGAATTCAATCATCCAATCAACAGATGCACCAAAAACAGTTGGCCTTCATCACATGAAGCATGAAGAGAATCCGCTGGATCTCATTTGGTTCACCACACATGTCAATGGCAGACAAGCGAAGGCATTCCTTGACTCTGGCTCTACAATCAGCGCCATCTCCAAATCGGCCGCTGATAGGATGGGCTTGCAGTGGGACACCCAGCGTTCAATTGCCATTAGACATGTGGACGGCACCGGCCGTACCCTCGGTCTTGTTGAAGCAATCATTGAATTGCATAACAAGACATTCCTTTTCGCCATTCAAGTGTTGGAACATCTGGAGCACGACATGCTCATTGGCCTCGACTTGGCCAAAGCCGCTGCTCTGGTTGTCAACTTCGGCACAATGGTTCAAAACAAAACATTTTCTCTTCACCAACTCAAGACACCAACACCCGCACCGAGAATTTCCAGACAATCAATCAAAAACATTGTCTACACAACGGATGTTCCGTCTCAATCAAATGTTGGATCTGTCAAAGAGATTGAACAAGAGATACAAATCAACAAAAATTTCATTCAGCCGACTCACCAACAGATATCACAAATCATCGACAACTCATCCAAAACATCCATCAGCGACAGCACTGGCTTCACATCGAAATTTTTGCACTGCGAGTTTTCATCAGCCCTTCCAACTGATGACACACTCGAAGAGGCCAGAAATCAGGCGACATTGAAGTCCAGAGCTCTGCAAATCAAAAGACATGAGAAAATTGAAAAACAAATGAACAAACAAACCTTTGAAATTTCAGATCAACAAAGAGTTGGCACAGAACTGTCACCACATTCATCGACATCTTGTGTTGTCCTGGAAAAACTAGGAGATGAAAGTGTGCGATTGGATCACATCGACATCATCGCTGGTGTTGTTGTGCGTTCATTCACAACACATTCATCAAGAGTGGCTCCATACATCTCCCGCGATGACAACATTTTGATCAACAATCATCCGATTCACTCATCTGACATAAACACTTCCACCACTTTTTCAACAACATTGACATCTCATGCAGACTCATCAACAACAAAGCCAACAGATGTTCATTCAAATCAAAAACACGGAAAATGTGATTCATTTTTAAAAAGGATGATCACATGTCAAACAAGCGCCTCATTTGAAAAAGTTTTGGATCAATCAAAGAACCCCATTAGACGCTACACGCTAGCGGTCGGCGGATGTGACCCTAGATGGCCCACAGATCACACACACACTCACAACAGACTTCAACCAACCCTTCACTCTCATTGGACAACCCTTCAGGCCGTCCACTACTTAAGTGGACGACAGTTCACTTTTTCTCTCTCTCACAACAGCTCTCTTCACTCTTCAATTCAATCACAGCTCACTCACTGTTTTCTTGACATTCAAGCCTTCACTTGAATTTGCAATCAATCACTTGACAAAAATCTGAAACACAATTCAAACAACATTTTTTAACCAATTTTTATTTTTAATTTTTTTTTATTTTAAACAATAAATTGTTTTACCGATCAATTGGTTGTGTCCACTCATTCATTATCTCATCCACGGTCACAATATTACTAACTCAACATTATTGTACTTGTAATCATTTTTTTATTAATTGATAAAACTAACTAGATAATAAAATAGTTATAACTATTATCTAGTTAATTTTACCAAAATTAATCAATGAACAAAAAAATGATCAATGAACAATAATGTTGAGTTATTAAAAATATTATCTACAATTATGTTCATGGTCATTTTTTTCAACAAACAAAAAAATATTGAATCTATGGTTTATCAGCTAAACTAATACTGTATATAAACTAAATGAATAGTGGGGACATACCTGTCTCCCACCCCCCACCCCCAAAAAAATGCATACACCATGGATTCACCAGCACTTGTATTAGAGGATAATATACAGTAAACTGTAAAACTATTTAAAAAAATTATTGAAATAATATATATATGATAATGAAATACAATTGTTTGTGTGATATTAAATAGTTATGTCATTAATTATTAATTACTTTTTTTTATTGTTTGTTTGTTTGGTTTGGTTTGTATAGTCAATGAAATTGAGTCGTTCATCGCTGGCAAAGACAACTGTCGGTCAAATTGTAAACATACTGTCCAATGATGTCAACCGTTTTGATGAGGTTTTTCATCAGTAGTAGAGAAAAATTGATACAAAAAAAATTATTAATCAATTATATATTGTATTTCAGTTTTCATTTTATGCCCAATCAATAGTGGTCGCACCACTACAGTCGGCACTAGTATTATATTTTCTATGGGGTGAACTCGGTTGGGCCTGTCTGGCCGGTATGGCTGTACTTATACTGTTCATACCCTTCCAGCTAACAGTGGGCGCACTGTTTCGACAAATACGGGGAAAGACTGCTGTTTTAACCGATAGTCGGATACGTATAATGAATGAGATTATTGGTGGTATGCGTGTCATTAAAATGTATACCTGGGAGATGGCGTTTGCACAGTTGGTTTCGGTTGTCCGCAAGTATGACAACTATCCCGGGATAAGCACTTATTATATAAACAACTTATTATCTAATTATATATAAACTTTATAATAGATCTGAAGTAAAGCGCATCCGAAACAGTAATTTCCTTAAAGGTATCAATCTTTCCGTATATTTTCTACTGCCACGTGTTATTGTCTACCCGTGTATACTGATGTATGTCCTGATGAATACTGGCCAGTTGGCTGCCGATACAGTGTTTGTTACTGTTTGCTATGTCAATACTATGCGCTTGATTATCGGTAAGGGTGTACCGTTTGTTATCGCCGCCACCAATGAACTAATAGTTGTTATCCGACGTATGGAGGTATCTATATATATATATTAATGGCATATACTGTACTAATTTGGTCTGGACTATATTGGGCCTGAAATAAAAAAATTATCATGCTAAGTTTTGTTTTTTGTTTATTAAAAAAAATTAGGAGTTCCTATTGCTTGATGATATCAAACAAATTGATGGAAAACCTAAAAAATTAGATGAACTAAAAGTTGATGATAATTATGATAAGAAAACTGGTGTTACCATTGATAATATAACTGCTCGTTGGACTAATGTATGGGAAATACTGTATATATATATATATATATATATATATATAGTTTGAACAATAATTATGAAATTATTTATTTATTTTTAATTTTAAATGTAATTATTTAAATAGGATGTGATTGAACCGACACTTAAGGATATTAGTGTTTGTGTAAAACCGGGACAATTGTTAGCCGTAATTGGACCGGTAGGCAGTGGAAAGGTATCAATCTTATTGTTAATTGATTTTTTTTATATATACTATTATTATTTATGACAATATTTCTAATCGTAGAGTTCGCTGTTGATGTCAGTCCTAAATGAGATGACAGTCGATTCGGGTTCACTACAAGTGTCGGGTCGGGTATCGTATGCACCCCAGGAGTCGTGGGCTTTCATTGCCAGTGTTCGCGATAACATATTGTTCGGTTCGGAGTATGACGAGCACCGGTACCAACAAGTGGTCAAAGTGTGTGCATTGGACAGGGATTTCAAATTGTTTCCGTTCGGCGATAAGACACTCGTGGGTGAAAAGGGTGTACTGTTGAGTGGCGGCCAAAAAGCACGTATCAATTTGGCCAGGGCACTATATCGTCAAGCAGATATCTATTTGTTGGACGACCCGTTATCGGCAGTTGATGCACAGGTAGCCAAACATATATTTCAAAAGTAAGTTAATTACAGTTATAGTTTTGTTATATACAAGCACTTGTTATACTATTAAAAACTAATTTAATTAAAACATTAATATATAACTAAATAGAAATTTTTACATTTTATATTATACTGTTATTTAACTATTAATATATTATTATTATTTTGTAAAAAAATATCAGAATAATCTATATTAACACTATTTGTTATTTAAATTTTATTAAAATTATTTATTATTATTATTTATTATTATTATTTATTATTATTATTTATTATTATTTATTATTATTATTATTAAATTATTTTTATTATTATTATTATTATTAAATTATTTTTATTATTATTATTATTAAATTATTATTATTATTATTAAATTATTATTATTATTATTAAATTATTTTTATAACTTATAGATATTGTATAATAATATTCAAATAGATAATATTTATATTAATTAATAATTAATACAGTTTTTTTTTAATAATAATGATTAAAACTACCATGATAAAAGTAATTTTTTTATTTTTTTATGAAAAAAAATTATTAATTTAATTTCAGATGTCTAATTGATTATCTAAAAGATAAGGCACGTATATTAGTAACACATCAGATACAGTTCCTTAAGGAAGCCCATAAGATACTGGTGCTCGACGAGGGCCGGTGTGTAGCACTGGGCAGCTATGATGAACTAAAACAGTCGGGTATTAATCTGATGTCATATCAGCGAACTACCGGTGCTGACCACATGAAAACTACTGGTGCTGGTGGTGGTGGTCGACCTATAATGAACCGTACGATTTCGTTTACGCCGTCAATGGTCAGCAGTATCAGCGAAGGATCCGACTTAGCTCACGAAGACATTGGTAAACAATCGACAAATTTGGACGACGAACCAGAAGTAAAAGCCGAAAGCAAAATGATCGGTAGTGTCGACTCAACCATCTATTGGGACTATATTAAGGCCGGTGCTGGACCTGTGCTGATGACCATAACGTTTCTGATGATTTTGTTGTCACAGTCGCTATATCAGGGAAGCGACTATTGGATGTCCTATTGGTAGATAAAAATTTAGATATATATTATAACTTAGATATACTGTAATTATTTATATGTGTTTATGATATATATATATATCAGGGTTGCTAAGTAGAGGGGTTGGTTAGGGTAAGACCTCTTACCCCCCCCCCTGAGATCGAGAATTTTTGGATCTTACCCTCCCCCCCTTGATCTGAAGCCAAAAAGTTAGGAATTTAGTGGGAAGTTATTGGGAAGTTATTGGGAAGTTATTGGGAAGTTATTGGGAAGTTATTGGGAAGTTATTGGGAAGTTATTTGGAAGTTATTGGGAAGTTATTGGAAAGTTATTGGGAAGTTATTGGGAAGTTATTGGGAAGTTATTGGGAAGTTATTGGGAAGTTATTGGGAAGTTATTGGGAAGTTATTGGGAAGTTATTTGGAAGTTATTGGAAAGTTATTGGAAAGTTATTGGAAAGTTATTGGGAAGTTATTTGGAAGTTATTGGGAAGTTATTGGGAAGTTATTGGGAAGTTATTGGGAAGTTATTGGGAAGTTATTGGGAAGTTATTGGGAAGTTATTGGGAATTTACTCAAATTTGAGAAAAAAATTTCGTTTAAAAATGTATTAAAAAAATTTTTCACACACCCCCTATACCCCCAAACTTTTTCGAGTTTTTTTTGTAATTTTACCCCATCCTATACCCACCACCCCCACCCCCTAAAAACAAAAACCTTTAGCAATCCTGATATATATATATATATATATATATATAAATATATATTTATTTTTTCAGGACAAACCATAATAACGATAACAATGACAACCGTAATATTATCATCTATTCGGCACTGATTGTAGGCCTGTGCGTGACATCACTGTTAGCCACTGTATCGTTTTATATGATGTGTATGCGGGCATCGATAATACTATATAGACGTATATTTTCAACACTATTGCGAGCACCCATACACGTGTTTGAGAGTTCACCGGCAGGTATTAAAAAAAACAGACATACCTATTAAAAATAAAAATCTATGATATAATTGGTATTTAAATTAAAAATTTTTAACTAATAATTTTCAGGCCGTATATTGAATCGGTTTGCCAAAGATACCGGTATTATTGATGAACAGTTACCGTCGACAGCATTTGACTTAATAATTGTAATGATTTAGTTAAATTGATTAAATTATATATATATATATATTTTATTTAAAATATTTTATATATAGTATAATATTATTATATATTAAATCTATTAAATATAATATATATATATATATATAGTATAATATTATTATATACTAAATATATAAAATACTATAATATTACAATATTTAAAAAAAAATTTAAATATAGTTATTAGTACAGTAATTATTATTATTATTAGTAATTTTTTTTGTTGATTACCGGTAACAGAATCTATGTCTAGTAATCGGTAATTTAATTATCAATGCAATAGTCAATTGGCTTCTGGTGTTTCCGGCTATACTATTACTGTTATTGGTATTCATGTGTCGGTATTTCTATATTAGGGCCGCCCGTGATATCAAACGACTGGAAGGCTTATGTATGTATTGTTTATACAGTAAATGTATATATTTAATGTAATTTCTAAATAATGTATTACTTAACTAATTGCTAATTAATTATCATTAATTAGCCAGAAGTCCTATCTATTCGCACGTAAGCAACACATTGGCCGGACTGTCGACCATCCGATCACAGGAAGCACAGCACATGTTTGAACGGCAGTTCGAGTACTACCAGAACGACAACACTTCCACCTATTTTCTGTTCATCTGTACGTCCCGTGCCTTCGGCGTACTAATGGACAGCATATGTCTGGTCTATATCGGCGCTGTTGTAGCCTTTGTAATGTCTCTGTCGGACAGTGTATCCGGCGGTAATGCCGGACTGGTATTGTCGTCGGCACTGACGTTGACCGGTACGACACAGTACGCGGTCAAGTGTTCGGCCGATCTCGAGTCCTATATGACTGCAGTGGAACGGGTGCTCGAATATACCCGAATCGATACGGAAGCCAATCTCGAGTCGACACCCGATAGAAAACCGTCAACCGATTGGCCACAAACGGGCGGTATTGAGTTTATCAAAATGAGTTTACAATACGCCGAATCGCCGGCACCGGTACTCAAAGAGATAACTGTATCGCTGAAAGGTGGGGAAAAAATCGGTGTCGTTGGTCGCACCGGTGCCGGCAAATCGTCAATAATAGCCGGTCTGTTCCGATTGACTGAACCCAGTGGTCAAATAGTTATCGACGGCATAGATATCCAGTCGATTGGTTTACACGATCTGAGACGTCAGATATCGATTATACCTCAAGAACCGGTTCTGTTCACGGGTTCGGTACGTAAAAACTTGGATCCATTCGATGAACAATCAGATGAAGAATTATGGTCAGCATTAGATGAGGTACAGCTCAGGGATGCAATCAGTCAATTGCCCGGTATGCTGGACGGTATAGTCAGCGAAGGTGGCAGTAATTTTAGTGTCGGTCAACGCCAACTGGTATGTCTGGCCAGAGCTATATTGCGTGACAATAGGATACTGGTGTTGGACGAGGCAACCGCTAATGTTGACCATCAAACCGATGCATTGATTCAGCGGACAATACGCGAAAAGTTTCGTAACTGTACTGTCATTACTATTGCTCACCGATTGAACACAATTATAGACTCGGATAAAGTGCTGGTAATAACCGGTGCTTTTAAATTTTAAACTTTTATTTTACTTTATTTTACTATTCAATTACTGTTAGGTTTTAGACGCGGGAGAAGTAGTTGAATACGGAATACCTTACAAACTGTTGGAATCGCATAACGGTCTGTTTACACGACTGGTCAGCCAAACGGGCAAACATATGGCCACTCGGTTGCGACAAATGGCCAAACATTACTATTCAAACAAATTTGACGTACAATTAGATGAAAGAGATTCTGAAAATTAATTAGAAATTTATAGATATAATTATGAGAGAAAAAAAATATAATTAATTACTAATTTATCTAATTTTATGTTTTAGTTAGTTTACATTAATTTAAATTTTAAAATTATTATATTTATTATTAAATTTTAAAATTATTATATTTATTATTAAATTTTAAAATTATTATATTTATTATTAATTTTTTGTTTGTTTTAATTAATTTTATGAATTTTGAACTTTGAAATTGAAATGAAATAAAATTTAATTAATGACAATATAAATCAATAATGTTTTAAAATTTTATTATTTTCTATAATAATTACAATAATACTGTATTATAAATTGAATAAATTATATTAAAATATATATAAATTTTTTAAACGTCTAAATCAAATAATTCATTTATATATATAAAGTTACATATATATATATATATATATATATATATATAATAAAATAATAAAAGTCAATAAATGTTATTCAATAATTTATATCAAAATTTTACATTACTTTTTTAAAATTATTTATTGAAATTTAACATTATTTCTAAAAATAAAAATATAAATCGAAATAATATAATTGATTATTGATTTTTATAATTATCTAAACAAAAAATAAAATAAAATATTAATCACTTTCCGAATCTAATTCATTGAATTGTACGTTAAATTTATCTGAATAGTAATGTTTTGCCATTTTATGCAACCGACTGGCCATACGATTGCCCGTTTGACTGACCAGTTGTCTGAACAGACCGTTGCCGGACTTCAACAGTATGTAAGGGATTCCGTATTCAATCACTTTTCCAGCGTCTAAAACCTACCGGTGTTTTTCAAATAGTAAAGTAAAAGATATTAAAAAAAATAAATTTATATTAAAAGCACCGGTTATTACCAGCACTTTATCCGAGTCTATAATTGTGTTCAATCGGTGAGCAATCGTAATGACAGTACAGTTGCAAAACTTTTTGCGTATTGTCCGCTGAATCAGTGCATCGGTTTGATGGTCAACATTAGCTGTTGCCTCGTCCAACACCAGTATCCTATTGTTACGCAATATAGCTCTGGCCAGACATACCAGTTGGCGTTGACCGACACTAAAATTACTGCCACCTTTGCTGATCATAGCGTCCAACATACCGGGCAATTGACTAATTGCCTCACATAGTTGTACCTCATCTAATGCTGACCATAATTTTTCGTCCGACTGTCCATCAAACAGATCCAAATTTTTGCGAACCGAACCCGTAAACAGAACCGGTTCCTGAGGTATAATCGATATCTGACGTCTCAGATCGTGTAAACCAATCGACTGGATATCGATGCCATCGATCAGAATCTGTCCGCCGTTTGGTTCAGTCAATCGGAACAGACCGGCTATTATTGACGATTTGCCGGCACCGGTACGTCCGATAATACCGATTTTTTCGCCGCTGTTTACTAGAAAATTTATATCTCTAAGTACCGGTGCCGGCGATTCTGGATACTGTAGACTCATTTCAATGAACTCGATTCGGCCTTTTTGTGGCCAATTAACTGATGGTTTTCTATCGGGTGTGGACTCGAGTTCGGCTTCCGGATCGATACGGGTGTAGTCGAGCACCCGTTCCACGGCTGTCATCAATGTTTCGACATCGGCTGAACATTTGACACAACGTTGTGTAGTACCGATCATAGCCAGCGAGGCTGTCAATAGTAGTCCAGCGTTACCGCCAGTCATACTACTGTCCGACAGAAACATTATATAAACCACAACAGCACTGATATAGAGTAGACATATGCTATCCATTAGCAGACCGAAGGCACGGGACATACAGCTCATCAAAAAATTTGTTGCTGTATTGTCATTCTGGTAGCACTCGAACTGCTGTTCAAATATGTGTTGGGCACCCATAGATCGGATGGTCGACAAACCGGCCAATGTATTGTTTACGTGCGAGTAGATTGGGCTTCGGGCTATAGGTATCAGTTTATTATTATCAGTACTAAATACACATACACATACACATACACATACACATACACATACACATACACATACACATACACATACACATACACATACACATACACATACACATACACATACACATACACATACACATACACATACACATACACATACACATACACATACACATACACATACACATACACATACACATACACATACACATACACATACACATACACATACACATACACATACACATACACATACACATACACATACACATACACATACACATACACATACACATACACATACACATACACTAACAATAAAACATTATATTTTACATACATATGCTTTCCAATCGTTTGATATCACGGGCAGCTTTAATATAGATATAGCGACACAAGATTACCAGTAATAATACAACTAATGCCGGAAACACCAGAAGCCAACTGACAATTGCATTGATCACTAATTTACCGATAATTAGCGATAGTTTCTGTGTTTTGAAAAAAAAACAATTTTTTTAACAAAAAAAATTATTATTATTATTATTATTATTATTTAATTACAAGTATAAAATCAAACGCTGTCGACGGTAACTGTTCATCAATACTACCGATATCTTTAGAAAATCGGTTAAGTATACGACCTAAACATATAAGAGTATATATATATATATATATATATTTATTTATTTATTATATATTATCATATGGTGTTTTACCTGCCGGTAAATGTTCAAACAAGTGTATGGGTGCTCTCAATAGTGTCTGAAATAAGCGCTTATGTAGTATTTTTGATGATCTCATACACATCATATAATATAATAAAGTAGCCAATAGTGATGTGACAAACAGGCCTACAATCAGTGCCGAATAGATTATAATATAACGGTTACTGTGGTTGTCATCATTTTGATTTGTTTGATTTGTCCTTATAAAAAACAATATATATAATTTATTAATGATTAAAAAAAATTATTATAAATATAAATCTACAAAAACATCATGTGTGTATGTATGTCTGTGTGTGTGTGTGTATAAGTATGTATATATATATATGTGTGTGTGTATGAGTATGAGTGTATATATATATATGCGTGTGTGTGTATGAGTATGTGTGTATATATATGCGTGTGTGTGTATGAGTATGTGTGTGTATATATATATGCGTGTGTGTGTATGAGTATATATATATGTGTGTGTATAAGTATGTATATATATATATGTGTATGTATGTGTATGAGTATGTGTGTATATGTGTGTTTTTGTACTGATATTTTTAACAATATCAACGATAACAAAAAAAATAAAAAAAAAATAAAACAATATCTATTTATTTATTTTTTTAGTACCAATAAGACAGCCAACAATCGATTCCTTGATATAGTGTTTGCGACAAAATTATCATTGAAATCATTGTCAACATTAGCAGCGGTCCTCCGGCGCCGGCCTTAATATAATCCCAATAGACATTAGTATCGATACTACCTATCATTTTAGTTTCGTGTTTGACTTCCGGTTTGTCTAAATTTGATATCTTATTGATGATGATATCGTGATTGTCCGGCACATCCATGTTGTTGTTGTTGTTGTTGTTGACCATTACATGTGATAAACTGTTCCCATGTTGTTGTTGATGATGATGATTATCATCTGCTAATACACTAGTATTTAGGTTTTCACTATTTTGCTGATATAATATTAGTGTAACACTTTGTCGTCTAAGCTTATCATAATTGCCCAGTGCTATACATCGACCCTGATCATCCAGCTCAAGTATTTTATCAGATTTTTGTATCAATTGGATCTGATGGGTGACCAGTATGCAGGCCTTATCTTTTAAATAATCAATTATGCATCTGATATCAAAAAAAAAAAAAAAAAAAAATCAAATTAAATAGTAAATGTATTATACATGGTATAAAATATTAATTTGATTGTAATAATTATTGTAATACTAATGTATACAGTATATACAGTATATACACTACTATAATTAATTGACAAAGTTTACTACAGTATTATAAAATAAATAAACTAATTAATTATAAACTAGCTTGATTATTAATTTGTTATATAATTAAAAAATTTATAAGTAATTATTTAAAAAAATATCACAATGTATATACAGACTGTATACTATAATTAATTGGCAAAGTTTACTACAGTATTATAAAATTAATAAACTAATTAATTAAAAACTAGCTTGATAATTAATTTGTTATATAATAAACAAAATAAAATTAATTATTTTTTTTTAAATATATTGTAATTTCCTAATACTGTAATTAGTAATACTGTATATATACTGTAGTTAAATAACAGTATAAATAAAATTAAAAAATTTTTTTTTTATTTAGTTATGTTATTCATTCAATCAAGTTTTTTTCAATAGTATATTAAATGCTTGTATTATATAACAACAAGTATAACTGTAAAATATATTACTTGTTATATATATGTTTGGCCACTTGTGCGTCCACTGCCGATAACGGGTCGTCCAACAAATAGATATCTGCCTGACGATACAGTGCCCTGGCCAAACTGATACGCGATTTTTGGCCGCCACTCAACAGTACACCCTTTTCGCCGACCAATGTCCGATCGCCGAACGGAAACAATTGGAAATCCCTGTCCAATGCACACACATTGACTACTTGTTGGTACCGGTGCTCGTCATACACGGAACCAAACAATATGTTATCGCGAACACTGGCAATGAAAGCCCACGACTCTTGCGGTGCATAGGATACCCGACCCGACACTTGCATTGAACCCGAATCCAGTGTCATCTCGTTTAGCACTGACATCAATAGTGAACTCTAAATGTTAATTAAAAATTTTCAATTATTTTTATTTTTTTTGTTGTTGAAATAAATTTTATTTTTAAAAAATGATAATAACTATTACTAGACATTACCTTTCCACTGCCTACCGGTCCGATAACGGTTAACAATTGTCCCGGTTTTAAACAAACATTGATTTCATTGAGCGTCGGCTTAGTTACCTCCTGGTAATACCGGTTAATATATATACACAAAAAAAATAAAATTATTATTATTATTATTACAATTATGATTAAATTTTTTTTTTAAATATATATACATTAGTCCAACGGGCAGTCATATTGACAATGAAAACGCCTTTATTAGGAAACAATTTTCTAGTCTTATAGTTATAGTTATCAATATGATGTTTGATATCATCGAGCAATAGTAACTCCTATTTAAAAAAAAAATAAATAATTATTTAGATAATAAAAAAGGTGTCGTTCACATATTACGTTCGCACTTGAGGGGTGAGGGTGGGATGGGTGGGGTTAGCCAAAGCGAACTTTTGCGAACGAGGGGGGAGGGGTAGGGATTTTAATTTCTAGTGGTGGTGGGGAGTGGGGAGGGGTAGTGGTTAGGAACAAGCGAACGTATTTTATTAATTAAATGATTACATGCGAACATAGGGGAGGAGGGGGAGGGAGGGGTTTAGATTACTTAAAAAGTGCGAACGTAATATGCGAACAGCCCCAAATAGATTTTTTACAAATGTTTTTTTATCGGATACCTCTATACGTTTGATAACAACTAGAAGTTCATTGGTTGACGATATAAAAATCGGTAAACATTTGCCTAATGTTGGCCGCATTATACTGGCGTAGCTAACGGTAACAAACACAATGTCGGCCGTCAATCGGTGGCCGCCATTATTGTTGTTCAGCCATACGTACACCAGTAGACACGGGTAGACAATCATTGGCGGTAATAGAAAATACATGAATATATTGAAACCGTTAAACAGATTAGTTAAATAAATTAGTTTCAATTCAGATCTATTGATAATTACAGGTAATTATAGGATAATTTTTGATAAACAAAAAAAACAATAAAACAAAATTAATTGCAGTAAACTAATTGTTAGGCGTGGTTCACATATTACGTTCGCACTTTGTAAGAAATCTAGACCCCTTCCTTCCCCTATGTTCGCAATTGTTCGCATGTAGTCATTTAACAAAATTACGTTCGCTTATCCCTAACTGCTACCCACCCCCCACCCCACCCCACCACAAGAAATAAGATATTATCTATATGCGAACGTTCTTAAAGTCTCTACCCCTCCCCTCCCCCTCGTTCGCAAAAGTTCACTATGGCTAACCCCCCCCCCCCATCCCCTCAAGTGCGAACGTAATATGTGAACAACGCCTTCGATATTTTTTTGTTTGTTTTATAATAAATAATTAAATTTTATTAAATTTCATTTATAAAATTTTAATACTTGCGGACAACCGAAACTAACTGTCCAAAAGCCAACTCCCAGGTATACATTTTGATGACACGCATACCACCAATAATCTCATTCATTAGACATAATCGCTGATCGGTTAGCGAAGCAGTCCTGTGCCGTATCTGTCGAAACAGTGTCCCGACTATTATCAGCTGATAGACAATAAACACAATGATGACTACGATACTGGCCAGACAACAGGCCCGACCCAATTGTGACCATTGAAAATACAGTATGATTGACGTCTGTAACGGTGCTATTAGTATTGTATGCAAATAGATTGCATACTAAATAAATGTACCAAAAAAAAAATAATAAAAAGGAAATAATAATTAAAAAAAAAATAATATAATAATATTTATGTATTTTTTTTTTGGCTACTGATGCTATCATCAAACAAAAACCTCATCAAAACGGTTGACATCATTGGACAGTATGTTCAGTATTTGACCGACGCTTGTCTTTGCCAGCGATGAACGACTCAATTTCATTGACTTTACAAACAAAACAAAACAAAAAATAAAATAAATTATTTCAAAATAAACCAAATATTTAATATAAGGCTTATATTATAAGCCGATAAGCGATCTATTTGGGAATTTAATGGGAATTTAATGGGAATTTATTGGAAATTTATTGGGAATTTATTGAGAATTTATTGGGGATTTATTGGGAATTTATTGAGAATTTATTGGGGATTTATTGGGAATTTAATGGGAATTTACTAAGATTTTGTTGGGAATTTAGTGGAAATTTAGTGGGGATTTATTGGTAAGTTATTAGGAATTTAATGGGAATTTACTCAAATTTGGCAAAAAAAAATTGTATATACTTTACGATAGATAAGAGCTGATGTAGCCACTCTCATACCCATACCAAGTTTATATAAATAAGTAGCTATTATTGAATTTATAATTAGTTTGTCGACCAACGACTCCAATACAATACCGACCGCCGACCAGATGGCCCACTGGCGGCTAATCTGGGGGTCGCCCTGAAAATAGCGTATAACTTGGCTCAACATAATTGGCAAACTTAAAACAATGAAGATTTCCTTAAAATTTTTTAGACACAAAAAAAATATTATTATTATTATTATTAAACAAAATTTTACGAAATATTTTCAGACAGAGAGAGAGAGAGAGAGAGAGAGAGAGAGAGAGAGAGAAATAAATGATTAATTTTATACTATTTTTTTAACAAACATATTATATACTTGTATTATAATAACCAATAGATATATTAGATATTCGGGTGCATATGTTTTCAACAATGCAATGGCCAGCGATGGTGACCTTTTAGTGGCCAACTCATTGATCCAGTTTCTACAATATATATAAAATACATATTTATATTATAAGTTTATCATAATAGTTATATTATTATATTAATAATTATTTAGTATGTTATAAATAGACTGGGGGGTGATCCAAAAAAAATGTTACTTTTCCAGATTGTTGCGCAAACTGGCCGTTTCATCCGATTTTGAGCACCGGTATATATCGCTAAACTCCAGATCCTTTTTATGGGCCCGAATAAATAGACCCCAAAGCCAACTGTTAATATATATTGTATAAACAATAACAACAAAATAAAATAAAATTTATTACTATAATTAGACACTATATACAGTATATATATATCAATATATATTATTAACATAATTATAGCTAATAATTATATATATATATACTATAGATGTTAACTCCCTATAAATATATATACAATATATTTAAATAATTTTCAATTTTTTAAATTTATTTAGAAAATTATATATTTTTTTTAACTTGGTAATATTTACACTTGATAACAATAACACTATATAATTTATTATTATTATTTTTTTTTTAAATAAATATCCCAGGTACTTATTAAATTACCTGAATGTGATTCGCGATATAATATTAATGCGATCCCATGGGGACGGTATGGTTACCAGTGGTTTAGTGTCCATTAGTTTTGTTGTAGTTGTTGTTTTTCAAATATAATTTATAAACAAATTTTTTTAGTTAATTATTTTTTTAGTTAATTATTTTTTTAGTTAATTATTTTTTTTTGTTATATAATAATGTTATCTTTAGTAATAATTAAATAATGAAATATATTTCTAATATGTTTTTATTTTGAAAAATTTCAATATTAATATTATATTGTAATTTAAGTTTAAATGTATTAATACTATGACTATATCTTTAAAAAACATATATAACTATAAGTCTACAAAATAACTGTTAATATATTATAATATATTTGTTTAATAAATAGTGTTTTAGACAATTAATTATTTAATTACATATTTAAATTAGTTTTTTTTCAAAAATAAAATTATGTTAAATTTTGAATATTTAAATTATTAAATAACTTTTATAGACTTTTAAATAACTTATATATATATATAAATAAATAATTTATTTGATTTAGAGGTACAAAAAAATTTATATATTTTAATTTATTAAATGTACAATACTAGTACAGTATTATTGTAATTTTTTATATATTAAAATATTTAAATTTAAAAACATTTATTGATTTTTGTTGTCATTAATTTTATTTAATAAAAATTTTTTTATTAAAAAAACTAATTATAATATTTTATTTAAATATTATAAACTAATTATAAATTAAATAAATTAAGTGATACTAATTTATTCAATAAAGTATCTGTCAATTACAACAATTAATACATAATATAAAAATAAAATAAAAGACAATTTGCTAAATAAAAAAAACAATAATTACTTTTACGTGATTTTTAAAAAATAAATATATTTTGTAAATGTTTAATATCTTTTAATAGCTTTAAAATAAATTAATACAAATAAAATTTATAATTAATAAACTAAAATTTAATTAGTTATTACAAATGTCTATTTAACAATAATCATTAACAATTAAAAATATATATATATATACAATCAAATAATAAATAATCAAATAATAAATAATTTTTAATTGTGATGATAAATATTTTTAATTTATTACCTAGCTTATTGTTTAAGTTATTATTTTTTTTTGAATTAAAAATGTATCATGTATCAATAAGTATCCAGTCGATTGGTTTAAATTATATAATCAATTATATTATTTAATTTAGATTTATGTTTTTTTAATAGAAACAATGTTAAATTTTGAATAAATAATTTTAAAATTATATTTATTTTAGTTTATTTTCTTTCATAAATACTATTAAACATTTATAAAAATAATAGTTAAATTTCATGTAAAATTAATTAATTATTTTTTAATTTTTAGTTGATATGCTTAATATACTTTTATTTAAATATATTATATTATATGTTAATCAATAATATTACTAATATCACTTAAGTTATTGAATTTATAATTGTATTTTATAATACAGTAATATTTCAATAAAATTTTTCAAATTATTATTATATGATTTATGTATTTTTTTTATTATTAATAAAACATGAATTACACATTGAATTCAATATTTATAATTTAATTAAATAAGTAATTAAATTTTGAAAAATTTATTCAAATTATTATTTTTAATAAGATATTTATAATGTATTACATAAACTGTTTTTTTAATTAATCATTATAATTATTATGCTCATTATACCTGTATATTAATAATGCATTTTTTATTTTATTTTTTAATTAAATCATTTAAAAGTATAGGTATGCCAATATTGTAATTAATACCAATAATAATAATTATTATTATAATTAAATATAAAATTATTAAATATAATTATTATATAAAATTATTAAATATAATTATTAATATTATATAAAATTTTATATTATATTTTTTTTAAAAAACAAACAAAACTAATGGACACTAAACCACTGGTAACCATACCGTCCCCATGGGATGACATAAATATTATATCACGAATCACATTCAGGTAATTAATTATCTAGTTTTTTTTGTATACCCTGGTAACATTGGTAACACTAAATTTAACCTGTACATTTATATAAATTGATAATTTTTAGACGCCATCAACTAAATACTGTATATATATAATATAAATATTATTACTAGAATATAGAATATAATATTAAAATTTTAATTTAATTAATTTTTTTATAAATTATAATATTGATATTTATTTTTTTTTTGTTTTGCTAAATTAGCTGGGTATGGAGCTTATTTATCCGGGCACATAAAAAGGACCTGGAGTTTACTGACTTATACCGGTGCTCCAAATCGGATGAAACCGATTGTTTGCGCAACAAATTGGAAAAGTTAGTTTTAATTATGATAATTATGATAATAATATTTAATTAATTAATTAAAATTGAAAAAAAGTAAATAAATTACGTAGCTTATAATTAATTAATTATTATTTTTTATTATTAAAATTATTTATAGTTAACCTAGTTAACACTTATATTGTTTTTAAAAATTATTATTCAATAATAAAATTATTTAACTAATATACAGTACAGTTTACTGAATAAAATATTTATAATTAAATACAAATTATTTATATATAGTATATCTAATTTATATATTTAATTATATATATATATATATATATAAATTAATAGAAACTGGAACAATGAGCTAGCTAATAAAAAACAACCATCATTGGCTATTGCATTGTTTAAAACAATTGTTAACGAATATTTAGCATGCTTATTTTGAATGACAATCCAGGTAATAATAATAATAATAATAATTTTTAGTGGGAATTTAGTGGAAATTTAGTGGGAATTTAGTGGGAATTTAGTGGGAATTTAGTGGGAATTTAGTGGGAATTTAGTGGGAATTTAGTGGGAATTTAGTGGGAATTTAGTGGGAATTTAGTGGGAATTTAGTGGGAATTTAGTGGGAATTTAGTGGGAATTTAGTGGGAATTTAGTGGGAATTTAGTGGGAATTTGGCAAAAATTATAGTTTAAAAATGTAATAAAAAATGTTCACACACCCCCTATACCCCAAACAGTTTGGCCAGGGCTATCTATCGTCAAGCAGATATCTATTTATTGGACGACCCGTTATCGGCAGTGGACACACAGGTAGCTAAACATATATTTCAAGAGTAAGTAGTAATGGGTTATATAAGCATTTAAATACAACTGTATTATAACTAATTTAATAAAATTATAACTAATTTAATAAAATTATAACTAATTTAATTAATTAAAACATTTTATATTATGCTATTATTTAGCTAAATATTTAAAAAAAATTATTTATAATTTTATTTAACTATTAGTTGACTATTAATTAACTATTGATAAAAAGTTATTTAATTAATTTTTTGTGTTATTATTTTTTTATAAATTTTTTTAATTAAATTATTTTAAATTTTTATTATTTATGATTTAACAAAAATTATTTTTTATACAAATTTATTATTACAAAGATGTTTAATAGATTATCTGAAAGATAAGGCACGCATACTAGTCACACACAGTATATAAATTAGCCAATAGTAGCACCGAT